GCAGCTCAGATGGCACGTCCGATGGTTGGCGTCGCATATAACGAGACAGATGTCGAACTTGGGCATGAACCTCTCCGCGACGGGGATTTGATGACAGCATGATGGGTCCTTTTGGACGATATGGTCGTTGCCAAGTTATTCATGATTGCTATGCGTTGTCCGGTTTGACCATTTTGTTATGATGTTCACATGCTTAACTGTGCGAGCTCAGTGGAATTTGGTTCGTCAATTTGAAGTGGCTGGGATCATCTGATGATATTCCCCATTAGTTGTCACGTATTCAAACACAGTGTTACTGCAGAAATACACCCTCGCAAGAGTAACATGGACTTCCGAGTCATGAGTTATTTCTCCTAATGTATGGGATGTTAACAGAATAATGATTATGATGACAGACTGATACTGCAGTATTGTATAATCCACTGCAGTTGTTGTTGTAGTAGCAAAGCCTCTTCTGAAATCTTTTCTCATCAGCTATTACTTTGATAACACTATGTTCCAAATCTTCCGCACATCATTCGTCCAGTTTGTTTGCATAGTACTGGTGACAGGGATTGGGTAAGTCTATTATGGTTTGATGAATGCTAGGATTGCCTTGATGGTCCATTAACGGCTTGGCAGCAGAGATCATTCTTTCAGAGACCCGAGCATGACCAAGCCACAGGTGATTCAGAAAGGTAATCATCACGTAGTGTTGGGATATCAACTTCACTCGTGTCCTCTCAGACCAGCCCAAATCGTTCTTACAAAGGAGATCTCAACATGAACATAAGAAGCCATTAATAGCCGTTCAGCTGCATTTGGTCGAGCCTGGCATGATGGATGTTGACGATATAAGCACTGCTACATCGTCGCTTGTACAGGAGGGAGGAAATGAAGGTCGGTCATCGATGCGACGTAGTGTAATATGATAGGAGTTTCAGGCAAAGTGAACCCGGCGGTGCTGATCGACAACATAAACAAGAGCGAGAGGAAAGAGGATGTGGCTCTGGAAGGTGGGATCGTTACTGTGGTGATACAATCCGGAAACTCGAAGACTGAGCGTTTGTGTAGATTATGTAAATTATAGACTTTCAGGTGCGACGCAGGAGCTCGAGAAGTTGTATGCCAAGCTTGGGCATCTCGTTAATGGTGATTCACAGTGAGAAATGCATGGTGGGGTCGCGTATGAATGTTGAGGGCTAATGCATTGATGGGTTGAGCTACAGTGAAAACGAACACATCTTCAAGGGTCTATTTCATGGGGTGCCTTGTCTGAGCAATTTTACCGGTAAGGACACATTCTTAGGTCGAAGTTGTTTCACAAGACTCCTTACTGTAGGCCAGGATAAGGCGTAAGAACTTTAGGAACTTTACTCCAATTGCTAGATTATGATCATTCGAGAGTCTGTTCATTCCAAATTGGAATTTCCAATGCGTGATCATCAGTTCGTGACGAACTGATGATCACGCATTGGCGACGAACTGTTCGTCGCCATAAGTAATCGAACGCTGACGTCGAAGGAGATAATTTTGAATTCACTGTTGGTGAATCACTGCTATCATCCTCAGCGTGTGACTCCTCTAACATGCTTGATAGGCATAGCCTATTGTGACGTTCATTAAACTGTATGATGGAAAGCTGCGTTGAGGGTGAGGTACACGCGTGGCAACTATTAAACGGTTTGTGGAATAATGGGAAAGAGAGTCTAAATGTTAGGAAAGCCACATAACATCATCATCATCGAAGGTGATCCCTTACATTGAGGGGATGAACAATCGAATGTAGTGTGATGCATAGATGACCTTGGGCTCAAGTGCTCTAATGGCGATCTCCTGGCTCTGAACTTAATAATAAGATTTTAACGGATCTTAGCGTCCTTACGATCAGGTCAGCCATTGTCGTGTCACAACAATCATTGGCTGCTGACCGGTCGGAGTTGGCTCTAGCTCATACTACTCATCGTTGAGTTGCGATTCTGATGCGGCTTGCATACTCATCAGCGTTACATCATCACCGCAGCTAACTCCCCATTTCATACAACTCAAGGGCCCCACAGCAACTTACAATGAGAGACCTGAACCCTCACCTCCTGAAGGTAACTAAGGGAACGACTCTTAGAATGTTGATACGATATGCCGGTGAGGACAAAGGACTGATCATAGGCATAGATATATTGCGATTGTTGGTTCATGGAAAGAATATTTAAGAATCATACTTCATCCACTTCATCATAGTCCACAAACAATACAGTAGACCATTATCAAAAAACGGATTACACACCGACCAGTGGTCGGCGACCACTGATGGTAGAGAAATGACATATCCTGAATGAGTGATGCCCATTAGAGAGGGTCTCAATGATATCATCTCATGCCTTCACGCTGGAGACTTCACCAGAGTCACAGATATGCCCTCCACTTTTGTTTCAACCGTATCCTCTTTACCATTGTAGAAAAAGCGCTGGAGGTCATGATAAATCAGCAAGTTTGGACACTTCTGTGCTGCTACTGTCATGAAAGAATGGTAGACCCACACATTGGATATGTTATATTCATTGTTACCAGAGTCAAGGTCTAGGGGCACTGTCTGAAATCCGAGCGGAGTCTGTGTACATGTGATTCGCAGGGTGACCGTGTATGGCAAGGACGGAGCATCTCTAAAAGTGGCTGCCACACT